GATCCCATGAGTGCCGCTGCTTGGCCTGGCTCCGGCTTCAGATCGATTTTCTCCACCGGAGGCTCTTCATCCTCGTCGTTTTCCTTCTTTACTGAACCATCCCCTTGCTCGATTTTCACGTCGGGCTTTACATCTAGTTGGTTGACGAGTGCGGCGATTTGCTGGTCTTTTTCTTCCACAATCCGTGTTAGCCTTGCAATTGCTTCATTCATATAAGCCAGCTGCTCATCGATTGAAGTCGCTCCAGTAGTCATGACTTGCATGGCTGAGTTGCCACTTGTGTCGGCATCGGAAAGCATGAAACCAGAGTACTTCCTTGGGCTTTCCTTCCTTGGCGCCTTTAGCGAAGCCAGGGTGATCACAGGTTCATGCCTCAGGTGCTCTTGTTCCTTCGGCGGAGTTGATGCAGAGGTGGAAGATGCGGCAGAAAGAGCTTTTGCCTTGCTTCGAGTTATGACGCCCGAAGTAACACCGCCTACGGTGATAACGTTCTTGTTCCTTGCATTGGCTGCGAGAACAACTTGAGCTTTCTTTGATGCCATTTGTGCTTTTTGCTGATTCAAAGATAAAGATGAGAGGTAGAGATGGTCCCACCGGGCGTGCCAAATTTGTAAACACGGAAATTTCCTGCGATGAACGAGACAAGAACACGTGTACAAAATAATATTTGTATTGATGATTTAGGGGTTACAATCTCTTCTACAAATTTAGCCTCTGATTCTATCTTTGCAATGGATGGATTTGATGTTGTTGGTCCAAAGGGCCGTCGGGGCTTGATCTTGGAATGAACAGTTGTGCAAATTTGTTGACGTCGTGGATCCAAAGGGCCGTCGGGGCTTAATCTAGGGATGAACGAGTGATGAACGATGGACACTTTCTTCAAGGGCCGTCGGGGCTTGATCTTGAATTGATGGAAGTTCTTCAAGGGCCGTTGGGGCTTGATCTTGAAGGTTGAGTTGACGAATAACGAAGAGGGCTTTCTTGATTCTTCGGGATTTGCTTAGGAGCTTTGGAGTTTCAAAGCTTCAAGGTTTTGGTGTGAGGTGAATTGGTTATGAATTGGTGTCCCAAAATGAATGCCTTGGCCTCCTATTTATAGAATTCCAAAACTTGATTTTTTGGATTTAAATAATTAGATGAAATAAATCATTTCTGCCAGGTGTTGACACGTGTCCTGTTTGATGACTTTTCTGATTTATTTTGATTTTTCGTTTAGTCACATGCTATGTGTAAAATTTATGTGACACATAAACATTGAAATTTTAATTATTGATCAACATTTATTTTACCGAAATTTCGATGTCTACAATGACATTCGGAAATATTGTGGGAGAATGATCTCCTTTTATAGAAGAGAGTTTCTAGCTTTGTTTTGACATTGACATGTGTCGTGTTGTGATTGGCTTTTGATATTGACATGTGTCGCGCTATGCTTGGCTTCTGATGTCAACACGTGTCGCGCTGTGATTGGCCTCCTGGTTGGAGGGAAACTCTTATGGGTCCTCAACGGTATAACGTTGATCGGTGCTCAGTAGTTTTGGAATTGGTCAAGTATGGTACAAACAGATAGTATAATACCCTTGAAGAGGCAATGGATACCCAAAGAAATTAAAAGTTTTTATGCATGCGCATGCGCATGAGAATATGGGATCACTGATTGATGATAACCAATGGTAATTTTGGTTTTTACAAGTAGCTACTAAATTCATCAATGAGCTGTATTGATATTGAGTTACGTTCTTTTGTTTGTCGACGAAAGGAAATATTATTTCCCAAAAATGGAGAAAGGCAATTCCATTACAATCTTGTAAGAACGTGGAAAAATGGATTTATATATATGTATATAATACAAATAGCCAAAAGATGTTGAACATATGGGCATTTGTAATACAATACACTCACATAATATGACACAATGTTACTAGTTGAAACCTGAAATTATACTCTTGTAAACAAGTTCATATGAATAGAGAATTATATACGAAGGGTTATAAGTCGCCCACATCATATCTCCATAAGTAAATTCCTCAAGTATACATGGAAGCAAATTGCTCCGTATAAATTCCAAAGGAAAATGTGTCATGAAGTGTAGAAAATCCCTGAAAGATTCAGATTGCTTGAAGAAAGCCCTAGAAAGGCAAAGCATAAAATATGTACTTAATACCAATTGATGGTATAAATTACTTTAGTGAGTACTATCATTATGATATTGTTGTAACATACTAAAATCTCTTGCAAGAGTCGATAATATTAGGTTGAGACTCCTAAAGAATCTAAAAAGTTTATAAAGTGTTAAGAGAAATATTGTCTCGAGCTGCAGATCGAACAATATGCCAACACAAATCTTATCCATGATGTTTATGGTATTAAAAGAACCATATGTATTGAAGATCATGAGTTGAACACTCAAGTGGTTAATTAATATTTAGACACTAAGAAAAATCATTCATCCTCGTGAGGAAAAGATTAATGGATGCTTGGTCCAGAAGTACCACATCTTAGTGAAGTATATGCTTTATTGTATTTAGCACAATATACTGAATGAAATAAAACTTATCTATTAATATCTCCAAGAAATTACAGACATGTACATACACATGAGTTAAAATGAACAAACAGGAGGGAACCTTCACAAATGTTGCTTATGTGAAGCCTCAGTACTCAGAAGTACCCCAGAAGGGGGAGGCACCGGAGGTTGATTATTTGGAGCCTCAGTACTTGGTGAAACTCCAGACGGTTAAGACAATGGGTTTCTTTGGAATAAAGACTTGAACCCCTGATTGTCATTTTGAGTTCGACCTTCGGATTCCAATAGCTGGTTGAGCTTTCTTTTCATGCTCGTCAAGTAATTATTTGCAAGCATGTGTAACACTCTATTATTGTGCTTGAGCCCCTCTAATCTCTTATTTAAGACTTGTCACCTCAGCCATCAATGATTCAACTTGGTGAGTTCGAACAAGTAGGCGTTGACCCATATTAGAAACAGAGCCGCACACTGAATACTGAGATCCAAAGAGTCTTGAACGGCCAACTCATCAGACCGGTTTGAAAGGATTCTGTTATCCTTGGGAGTGAGAAGATTTCTAGCTACCACTGTAGCGGTTAGGTCATTCTTCATCACAGAGTCCTTAACCATAAGAGGACCATTTGAAGATAAGAAAGACATGCGCCATATATTATCCTGACACGGCTCGCCTATATTAGTCCTAAGACTCAAATCTAAGCAAATGTTAGATGGGCAAGCCATTTTTCAGAAATGATGAAGAAAAAAAGAGGTCAGATAAAATCTTAGAAGTGCAAGAAGAGGAAATTTCTGTAGGCAACAACTTTCTGAGTGTATCTGAACAAAATTGATATATTTATTAAAAAAGAGGCAACAGGGTCACCTGTTCAAAAATCGAAGAGACACCGCTCTCTGAATGTTAAAAGCCAGATTTTCAGGATAAAGTTCGTCAACATTTCTCAAACGCAATCTTAGCTTTTAGATATCACGTGCAACTTTGTCAAAAATCTTTGATAAAGTTGAAAACGTGTGAATTTCACTATTCCAACTACAACACTGTTGCCGATAAGCGTGGATGACAAAGCCACATCCACACCATTGCCTGCTATTGGGGAAATCCCTATATATGTCGACCTTCATCCTTCATGGCAAGGCACACATCCAAAACTCCTAACTCTTTCTCATTGCTGAAAATGCATCTGCAACCAAACCTCTCAACATACTCAGTTTTCTTTCTCTCCGAGAATACCTCTTCAAAACAAGTCATATCAGAGCAAGAGTATCTCATATCATGCAATCTCTTTATCCTTTCCTTTGTCCTTGTTCTTACCTGCAAGACAAGGATAAAGAAAGATCAGTCAGAACTTGCAATCAACCTTCCGTTAAGGAACCGATTGCCTGGAAACTTTCCTGATTGGTTACCTAGTACTGCTTTCGAGTAGCCATCTTCAACTGTTGATGGAGCTAGGTCTCTAGTCACCAAGAAGTGATGAATCATCCAAATGCAAGGGTTGCATTCCACTCCTGCATTAGGGGACAAATACTACAAGAGAAGATGCCACACATGCATGAGGGAAAACCAGGGAAAATATCACTTATGCTAGGGGAACAGGTAAGGCAAGTGAAAATGATATATTGAAGCATGTGGAGACAAGCACAACAAACACGTGTTGATTAATCCCCGACAAAGCCGAAGATCACTTGCCACGAGAAGCTCCTCATGATCCAATTTCATTCAAGATTAATCCTCGAAAGTCCTTGAAGAAATCACAAGTCCAATTCAAGATCAAGTGTCCACCACCCTTGAATTAAATTCTGCTCTAGATAAAAGGAGTAAATTCAGACATTTGATGCAAGTCTAGCAGAAAGCCCTCCAACCCAGTTCAAAAAATTGTATGTGGAAAGTCAACAAGTACAACAGATGTGTTACTACTCATCAGGGGGAGCATCCAAAAACAGATCAAGGTTTTAACGAGTCAATTGAAGACTTATGGTCATCCAAGGGGGAGTTATAATATTATGAGTCATTCAATGTGTGGATGGCCAACCCACTACATCCCACTCTACATGTCCTTCCACTAGGAGTTGCCACTGCTTGTTTTTGGTGCTCCTGCTTTGTCTATAAATCAAAGGAGATACGAAGAGAATGAAAAGAAGAAAAGAACGGAAGAGAGAAGCCACAAGGCTCATGGCAGAGAGACGAAAAATAGAGGAGAAAATAGAAAGAGTTATCTTTGTAATCTTATTATTTCAAATTATAAATGAAAGCATCACTATTGCCCCGAGAACGTACTCCAGTTACACTGACTGTAGAAGAACCTCGTAAATTTTGTATCTTATTTATTTATTCCACTTCACACACCGTCAATTTTACAACACCAAAAAAAATAAATATTGAAGTGACAAGAAAAATAGAATTATAATTACTATGGGTAATTTTGTAATTTCGATAAAAACAGAGATAAAACTGTACAACGGTTCCCGCACTTGTCTTCTCCTCCAGGCTCAAGTACCAGTATCAGACGATATATACAAGAGCAGAAGGGCAACCGCTCATTTGGGACTAGCAACCACTCTCCGCCATTTTAACGGGCGGAGACTTTCCATCCAAACATTTTCTCCGCCATTTTAACAGTCTAAGGAGTTTTTCCGACGAGGGTACTCTTCACCAGAATTCTAGGGTAATTTTTCTCTCCTGCAAATCTCCTTTCGTCCTTTTGGATAAAATATTCAAGTTTCATCTTTCATTCACAAGTGGTTGTAAAATATAACGATTTAGTTGCTTCCATGTCTACTATTTTTTGTAAGCAGGCAGCAGATACTTCATTTGTTTTCATTTAAATGCTGACTGACTGCATTCTGGTATAATATAATGTGTTGGGCTGCATTGAACTTGTTTCGAAACTGTCCTTCCCAAGTCCGGGATAGGGAATCGGAGTGTGGAAAGTGTCTTTGGTGTTATGCATACCAAGTGTTTGAGGAAAATCCTCAAAGGAAAGAAGAAAAACAAAAACTAGTTAATTAGGAGCTGAAATTTTGAAATTTTGAAAATCCTCAAACAAAAACAATTTTGTTTGTTTTGTTTTGTTTTGTTTTATAACTACTTGGCTTATGTTATTCATGAATCAATTGCCTTTAATTAAATGAATTATCTTTAATGCTACTTTAGTTTACTACTTCCCGGAAGCAATTGAAGAAAGACTTTTGGTCTAATATGATTGCTAAAATCCTAATCCTTATAGTGTATCAGTTAATTGTTTGGATAATTAAGATTTTAGTATAGATTACAGATTTACCTGGGAAGTGTTACGGAATTGGTGCTTTTAGGAGGATGTTGGAGACCCCACCGTACTGTGTGGACTGTGCTCATGTTTATATTTCCTGTATCATATTTTGAGATATGAATTTCTGGCTTTTTTTCGGACATAATAGTATTTTCTTTTCGGTTACAATAATAGTTGTTTCTCTGAATTCCATGGATTATGCAAAATTCAATTTAACCGCAGTATGACCTTACATGCGGTAGCAAAATGGCTTGGTTAAAAATCCTATTGTAAGTTGACAGTTACGTAAATTTGTGGTCATTGGTTAGGGACCTTGTTAGTTAGTCAAAGACAGATAGTATCTTACGACTTATAATGCGGACTTAGGGTACCTTGCTAGATTTTGTTAGAATGTGAATTACGGTCGGCTTGATCCCGTCACAAGTAAGCATTCTAACCCAAAAGTTAGATGCAGCAGTAGAATAGAATAAACGCTACCCTCTATCATGACTCAGGGTTCGCAGGGTGACAATATGTGCTCTAGACTTAAGAGTTTCTGTGGCTGTTGTTATCAATGGTAATTGGTGGTGAACAAATGATTCATTGGGGCGAAAGCTTATTTTTTATTATTATTTGTTTTAGTTTTTGAGTTACAGAATGAAGTGTGTCTAGATTTGCCATTTCAAATGACTTCCAAATATCTGGAATAAGAAATGACCTTCAAATATTATTAGCATCGTTCTTGGCTTCCAAATTTATGTTTGCATTCTAATGCATTGCTTATAGTCACAGTTCAACCTAGAGTTCTTTGTAATTTCCCACAATGGAGTTTTGGTAATTTTATGTATTATCTTACGTTGTATTATTTTAGTGTTTGATTGGCAGAAATAGATCAAGGGTAAGCAAAAGTAGAAGGTAGACGACGGGGCTCTACTCTGTCAAGAAACTTAAGAAAACCTGCTTCATTAGAGTCCCATGTGCAGGCTTGTTTTCAGATCCTTACCATGTAAGTCTCTCTCCCAGTATAGAGGTGAATTGGCCATTCTAATCTTCAATCCTTCACAGCTTCCAGATGTGGATCATAGCCATTTTATTAGAGCCATGTCATCGTTGTCTCCGACATCGTCATCAGTTGCAACTCCATCCCATAAGCACATTGCCCAGCTTTTATTAGAGCAAAAATCAGCAGCCCAAGCCCTCGAAACCTTCAAATGGGCCTCCAAACTCCCCAAGTTCACACACTCTCCCTCCACTTACCGAGCTCTCATCCACAAGCTGTGCACCTTCCACCGCTTTGACACCGTTCACCAACTGCTTGATCAAATGCCCACATCAATTGGACAGCCCCCGGATGAAGACATTTTTGTCACCATCATTCGAGGTCTTGGCCGTGCCCACATGGTAAAACAAGTGATCAAAGTGCTTGACTTGGTTTACAAGTATGACCAGAAACCTTCTTTGAAAGTATTCAATACAATACTTGATGTTCTTGTGAAGGAAGATATAGATATAGCCAGGGAGTTTTACAGGAAGAAGATGATGGAAAGTGGCATTGATGGCGATGGTTATACTTTTGGTATCTTGATGAAAGGACTTTGCCTGACGAACCGAATTGGTGATGGTTTTAAGCTTTTGCAAGCAATGAAGACTCGGGGAATCACCCCAAATACTGTGGTATATAACACGTTGCTTCATGCGCTTGGCAAGAACAAGAAAGTTGGTAGAGCGAGAAGCTTGATGAATGAGATGGAAGCACCGAATGACGTGACTTTTAATATTTTGATATCTGGGTATTGTGGAGAAGAGAATTTAGTGCAAGCTCTTGTTCTGCTAGAGAAGTGCTTTGGTTTGGGGTTTGTGCCTGATGTTGTCACTGTAACTAAGGTGTTGGAAATTCTTTGCAACAATGGCCGTGTAATGGAGGCTCTCAAGCTTATAGAGAGAGTGGAGAGCAAGGGAGGACTGGTGGATGTGGTAGCTTATAACACCTTGGTCAAGGGTTTTTGTAGATTAGGGAAAGCGAAACTCAGTCTTCGCATTGTGGAGGAAATGGAGAAAAAGGGATGCCTTCCAAATGTTGATACTTACAATGTCTTGATCTCTTGTTTTTGCGAATCTGGGATGTTGGATATGGCTCTAGATCTGTTTAAGGATATGGAAACAGATGGTATCTACTGGAATTTTGTTACGTACGATACATTAATTAGAGGTTTGTGTTCAGCAGGAAGGACGGAAAAAGGGTTTGAAATTTTGGAACTAATGAATGAGAGAAAACACGGTTCTGGGGGCCAAATCTCTCCTTATAATAGTGTATTATACGGGTTGTATAAGGAAAATCGTTTAGGCGAAGCACTTGAGTTTTTAACCAGTTTGGGGAAATTATTTCCCAGAGCTGTTGATAGAAGCTTGAAAATATTAGGTTTCTGTGAAGAGGGCGCCACATTGAATGCAAAGAAGGTTTATGATCAGATGATTACAGAAAATGGAGTTCCAAGTGCTATAATCTTCGACTGTCTAATCAATAGATTTTGCCAAGAAGGCTCTGTTCGCGAAGCGTTTGACCTAATGAACGAGATGATTGGTCATGGTTACATTCCTCTTGCATCGACATTTAATCCTCTGATCAATGCGTTTTGTGACAAAGGGAAAGTTGGTAGTGCACTGAAACTTGTGGAGGACATGGTTGAGAGAGGTTGCTCACCAGATGGTGGAAGTTATGGTCCGTTGGTAGCTGTTCTTTGCCGGATGGGGGATTTTCAGAAAGCTTTGAGATTGGTTTTGCAGATGGTACAAAGGGGCATCGTTCCAGATTACTTTACATGGAATTCATTGCTTCTTTGTTTAAGTGAAGAGACTGTATGGTTGAAAGGAAGAAGTGTAATCGATGTAAATAGCTTGTTACACCATATTATTGACAATTAAATGCTTGTCTAACCTGTATGGGCGAGATACAAGAAAATCAATGCATATCGACGATATTTATCGATGCAATACATAAATTTTGTCGGAATGCATTGCAAATTTTGAACTTTAAATTTTTTGAAAGAAATTTTTCTCTAATTTCAACTAAATCTAAATGAGTTGACATACTCATTCTATTGCAAATTTCCATAATTTTCTTCAAAGATGATATATTCATCGATATTTTCATAAATTTGTAAGTAGATATTTTCACCTATGTTGATATTTTAAACATTGGCTAAGGTTGACCTTTTGGTTCATCATGGGTTGTTGTACTGATAGTGTTTGCAAAATTGTTATACAATAAAATATTTATGTGTATTGTATTTACCCGTGAAACACTTAGAGCAAACTAATTGCGCGATAAAATGTCTTAATTGACAAGCCTTAACAATCTTTAACATTACTTCACAATTTTTCTATAAACATTCTCAACAAGCCTCTACAGATCATAATTGTTGACATATGTTAACATAAACCTTGAACAGATGTTGACAAGAATCCACAAGTTCCGACTAACTTTGCATACCAATACAACCACACAGAACAAAAAAGAAGAATCAAATGAATAATGCAACCCAGAACAAATAACAAAGTAAATAAATAAAAGAAATATAAATGACAATAATAATAAATAATGCAACTAAAAATAAATAAATAAATGAAGAATGGATGACAATAATAAATAGATGGGCTCCACCATCGCATCGCAATCATCGATTTGCCGATCCCTGCATCCAAAGGACGTAACCAGGATTCTGAGAATCGGTTAATATTTATTGAAACATTACCAAAGTTGCATCAAGTTTTTTACATTTCCAAAGTTGCAGTCTAGGTATACGACTCTTCGAAGAATTCTCTGGAATTGGATCCTATCCGAATTCATTTGGTAAGGATCTTAGAATTCTCACATCTTAATCATTCATCGTGTATTGTGCGGTTAGAAATAATTTGATTTTTTTATTTAAAATTAAACAAAAATAATATCTGACGAAAATTAACCGCACGATGTGCGATAAACGGCTAGGATGCCAAAATCCCTAAAATCCTCACAAAATGGATCCATAGAGGAAAATCTCTAATAACTAATGTTTTTAGGCATATATTTTATAATATCAAGTATTAATACAGAAATTGATGTTAAATTTTAAGGCAATTGTTATTTACATTCCAAAAATCTTATTATGCACTCCAAACTTTCTATGTTGGGAAAGAAAAATATATTTATGAGGAACGTAGAATGAGATTTTTGGAGTGCTAATAGCATTCTCAATTTTAAAATGGTAACTCATGTTTTTGACATAATATTTTACAAAAAAAACTATTCTTATCATCTAGTTGTATTATCACGCGTACTATTTTTTCAATAAAGATAAGACCCCACCTACTGGTGGTTCCTATCTCTATTAGAAGGATGATACAAAATGATTGTAGCACGAAATGATAGAGAGTTATTTATCTCTAATGCATTGCATCACAATTTTGATGGCGTGAAAACAGTAGCAGTGTCCGACCTCGTCAACTCCATCATCCATTCCGTTATTGACGCCCTTTTCCAAAACAAAAACCACACACTTTGTGACGCTCAGGGTCTCACACTAACCTCCTCCTCCTCCTCTTTCTTCAAAATCCAATCCATTTCAATTCAATCGCACAAGTCACCACCCTCTCGCCGTCTCTCCGATCACATCCCATCCCAACCAATGGATCCCAACCCCTCCAAATTAACCATGCTCTCCTACGTCATGTCCCACCTCCCCTCCTTGGCTCCCAAGCCCTCAACACCAGCCGCCCCTCCCCACCTCTGCACTATCCGCATCGACCCCCATCCCTCCGACCAGCCCCCCATCCTCAACCAGATGCCCCACCTCTCCGACCCCAAAGTCCTCGCCGCCATGCAACGCGCCGTCGCCGACGTCTCCCAGACCCGTTCCGCCCTCAAGACCCTCGGCGACCGACCCGACCACGAGCTCGTCGACACCGCCAAGGTTAGGCTCCGCGAAATCGACTCCGATTTGGCCAAGAAACTAGAGGAGCTTGTCATCTCTCCCCGCCCTAATGACTTTGACAGGCTCCAGTGGCGGGTTCGCCTGGCCGACAAAGAGGCTCAGTTCCGCGAGGCGGCGGAGAAGGACAAGCAAGGCTACACTGCGATTCTGCAGCTCGATGAGTTGCACTCCGCCTACGACAAGCTTCTCAAGGACGCCGAGCAGAGGCTCGTCAAGATTTACGAGTCGGCCATGGCTGGGGTCGTGGAATTTGATGAGGAGAAGGAGGAGGGCGGTGATGAGGGTTTGACCAACGACCAAGTCCCTGAGGAGGTGGCTGGGATTCTGCAGGAGGCCTCCCGGACCACTCTGGATCGGGTCAACCTCTCGGGGCGGCAGTTACGGTTCTTGCCCGAGGCCTTGGGCTCCATCCACAGTTTGCTCCTGCTGGATCTTTCCAGCAATGAACTCAAGGTTTGATTTGGTTTGATTTTGTTTCGATTCGGTTCGATTAAGTTATTGATATTATGATTAGATTAGGAATTAAAAGAACATTTTGGACAGGCTATTCCTGAGTCAATAGGTGGATTAGAGAAACTTGAAGAGCTAAACGTGTCTTCAAACCTTTTGGAGTCACTGCCGGAATCAATTGGGGCATTGCAAAAGTTGAAGGTGCTGAATGCCACTGGGAACAAGCTAAGTGCCCTTCCTGACTCTATCTGTCAATGCAGGTAAAGAAATTTATTGTCTTTAATCCATTCGAATTTCGAATTTCGAGTGAGAAATGGAATGATTAGAAATTTGGTTTTGTGAAATGTGATTAGGTCGTTGGCGGAGTTGGATGTGAGCTACAACGGCCTCACATACCTGCCAACCAACATTGGTTTTGAGTTGGCCAATCTACAGAAGCTTTCTATCCAGTTGAACAAGATTCGGTCTCTTCCTACCTCTGTTTGTGAGCTGAGGTCTTTACGCTGCTTGGATGCTCACTTCAATGAGCTCCGCGGCCTTCCTCTGGCCTTTGGTCGGTTGACCAATCTCGAAATCCTCAATCTCGCCAGTAATTTTACCGATCTAACTGAGCTACCCGACACCTTTGGTGATTTAATCAACCTCAAGGAACTTGATATCAGCAACAATCAGATTCATGCTCTTCCAGATACCTTTGGCCGCCTTGACAATTTGACCAAACTGAACGTGGACGGGAACCCTCTTGTGGTTCCACCCTCGGACATAGTTCAACAAGGTGTGGTAGCTATAAAGGTTTTCATGGCCAAGAGATGGTTGGAGATACTGGTGGAAGAAGAAAGGAAAAGCATGCTTCAGGTTCAAGATCAAGAAGAAACAGGATGGTTGACGCGCAGCACTTCCTGGTTGAAGGACTATGTTTCGGGTGTTTCTGAGTATCTGGGGTCTCCAAGAGCTCCTAGAGATCCTATTCTTGACCAGCAGCTATGATTTCATGCAAGGGCTCTTTGCCGCACGTAATTTGTGCTTACTTTTTCCTTTCTGTTTCTTTGTTTATTTCGTTTTACTTGTATTCCCTGCGACTCTTCTAGCTCGGAAAAGGTGGAAGCCTCAACAAATTTTCTTCTTTCAGTCCTCAACGGTTGTGAGATAGATTCGGATTTGCTTTCAGGCCTTTCATCAAAGCATATTGCGTATGGTGAGTTTTCTTGCGAGTCGGAAATTTGTACAAGTGTGAATTTTGTTGAGAAAGTGAAGGTGAATCAATGAGAGGAAGATAGGGGATCAACATATGTGTTTTCTTCTAGCAAGGAGTGACATTTTTACTCCTTACAACTTCAATTTTGTTTTCCTCTTAATCTTAAAACACACAGAAACACAAAACATCAGAATATGTAAACTTTTGGTCGCTTGTTTTATCTAGTTCATTACGTGATCTTTTCAAATAACTAAAGGGAATTTACTTAGTACAATAGTTACTTGATATTTTTTTTAAAGTTTAAATCTCGTGAATAGTAAATTCAATACAAGTTTATTCTCTGATTTTTTTAATATAAAATATGTCATCGTATCAAAAAATTAGAATAACTTTAAAACTAGCTGGTTTGTTGTCCCATCCACTCTCCCCTACATTCAATAGTTAAAGCTTGGGGACACGTTAAATTAGGTGGATAAATGTTTAGGCTAAGAAGTTGAAAAACAAAGCGCCTTTTATCCTAATAGAGTATTTTTGTATTCAATTTCCGCTAATAAAAGGAAAGCATGAAACCACTGTATGTATTATTCACAAATCATATGGCCTTTTTTTAACCAGGATCAATACAATTAGACCTGTACATTTCCCAAAGGTGAAAGGAAAAATTAAGACCTGTACATGTGCATGCATGGGAAGAAGCAGCTAATATGCGAACGAGTGTGCTGTAAAAGTTTGTGCACGCTAATTTGCGACCGAAAAATTCATGTTAAATTTCCTATTTACTTTTGTAAAGGAAAAAGGAGCTAAAATTCATCCTCTACAACCAAAATTCAGATAGATATTAGAATCCTATGTTTTCATAATGATTTGAAATCACTTCCCATCAACTTTCCGACGATGAATATAAATAATTATATGTTATATATATATGTATAGCAGCAAAACTTCCCACTTGCAGACTCAAGCGGGGAGGCATCTCCCCGGCGGTCTGAGAGTTGCCATCAAAACCCAAAAAATGGCACATAGTGCTACAAGAACCGGAAGGAAGAAGAATCCCCTCCTTATGCCTGCTCTCATAGTTTCAGAACCATTACCTGCTGCGACAGTTGTACTTGCCGTATTAATTCTCAACCTACTGAAGCTAGACATCCGTTCGAAAGCACGATTCACCAAAGCACTCTCTGAAGCAGATGCGGGAGTGGTAGGTATAGACTCCACAAATGCCCAAAGAGCAGAAGAGAACTGACTTGTAGCACCTGCAGCCTCATTGCCACTTTGATTTTGAGTTGCTCGGGAAGGAAAATTTGAAGATTCATATACCACACCTAGACAATACCAGATAGGAACTGCCTATATTAGCGACTACTTATAAGAG